TGTACATTGTAATCCACCCTGTTTCAAAGGTAACATAACTAAAACTGCCCTTGATAAATTAAGATGGCAGGTTCTGGCTATAACCTTTCCAGAAAACTATTATAAATCTATAATTATGCCTATCAGGTGATCTTCCAGACACACCTACGGGGTACTATGCTCAGGGCTGTCTGAGACAGAATAACAAAGAGCCTTGAAATAATCTAGGACTCTTATTGGCAAAGTTATTTTCACATCTGAGAAGGAAAATCCCACAAGCCCTATTCCCGGGGAGCACAACCTCTTTAATAATGAATTCAGTGACTAACCACCTCTCTTTGCAGCAGCCAAAACCAACAGCCTGGGGCAGCTGCCTCACTCTGCTCAACGGGAGTGCCAACCCTGATGATTGTTCAAAGATTGTGCCCAGCCATCAGGATTCGAAGAAAATCTTCCTTTTAAGGAAAAAATTAAATCCACCTTTCTTTCCTAAGATCCAGGCAAAGTAGAGACATAACCCTTTTCTATACAGAACATATTTTCAATATTATTTGTCGCTGGGGGAGGGCTAAGGAACACTTCAGCAAATTTTATTGCAAATGCAATTAATGTTGTTTTCTTTCACACTCGCAACTTACTGTTCCAATTTTCCCTTCTCTCCCATAAGATACTGGGATGTTAGGAGTATTTGGGCAAGCCAAAAATCCCCCAAAAGTCAGTTCATTTGTTTAGTTTGTCTTTATCCCACCCTTCCACTCCCCAAACTCCAAATATCAGGGAAAGAAAAAGTAATTTTAAAGTGTGTTCCATTATTGAATTTGTTTTGCCCTAATAAAAAGCATCTCTCTTTCCTTCTTTCATGACTCCATTTCCCCAAAATATCTGAACACCAAATTCTTTTCATTGCTTCCATGTGAGCAGCCAGCCCAAAGTGGATTGGTCTGTTTTCACTGAGGAATAAAAGCCGGTTTTAAAAGAACTATTTAACTGTGACCAGAGTTTCGGCCTCGCAAGCAGAACAAAAGAAGAGCTCTAGTCATATGGCCGCTTCTCAGTACATTCGCTTGTTCGTGGGCCCATTTTTGTATAATTAGCAGCCTCCTTTTTAATCTGCCGAATGACCTAATGCATCAATACTTTAGATGTTATAAAAAGCATTCATTTGCATTCAGCGATTACAAATGCGATTCCCTATCTGCCTTTAGAATCATTGGAAAAAAGAGTTGCCCCAAGAATTTAGGTCACAAATGAGCAGGCTAAAAATATCTCTGGTTCTCATGTGTTTCTGAGTAACATTAGTAGGAAGTAAAATCCATCCCTTCTGCTTTCACTCTGCACTCTGTAGACAGATCTCTTAATTTACATCTAAAGTGCAACTAATTGTTTGCTTCTAAGACAGAAGTGCTTGTCAAACAAGGGAAAGTACAGGCGGTGAATGTTAAAACGATATAACAAACCTACAACAAAGATGTTACCAAGTGGTAAGTTACCATGACGTAAGTTGTAACTATCTAGCAAGGTGGGAAGAGGATGCCATCTTACACCAGCAATTGATTCGTAGCCTGAAAGCATGGTCAGCAGTAGTGATAAAACTGGGTTGCTGTGAGTTTCCGGGCTGTGTGGCCGTGTTCCAGAAGCATTCCCTCCTGACGTTTTGCCCACATCTATAGCAGGCATCCTCAGAGGTTGTGAGGTTTGTTGGAAACTAGGAAAGTGGAATGTCCAGGGTGGGAGAAAAAACTCTTGTCTGTTGGTGGCAAGAGTGAATCTTGCAATTGATCACCTTGATTAGCACTGAATAGGTTTGCAGTTTCAAGGCTTGGCTGCTTCCTGCATGGGGAATCCTTTCTTGGAAGCTGATTAGACGACCCTGATTGTTTCTTGTCTGTAATTCCCCTGCGTTATGTGTTTTTCTTTACTTACTGTCCTGATTTTAGAGTTTTTTAAAGACTGGTAGCCAGATTTTGTTCATTTTCATAGTTTCCTCCTTTCTGTTGACAGTGTCCACATCCTTGTGTATTTCAATGGCTTATCTGTGTAGTCCAGCATAGTAGTGGTTAGATTGGTCCAGCACTTCTGTGTTTTCAAACAATATACTGTGTCCAGCATATTCTTCTTCTTGCCATTTAGCAGGACAATACCAGCTTTCAAAGTGACAATTTGCAAATGAGGTTAAATTACTGGTGGTGGATACCTATGGGATATTGACCCTCTCACATTAACATTTCCAAGCAGGGGCAAGCAGTAGGCAAATCCAAGTACAAACAAAGAGAGACACACCAATAAATGTATATATGAACTACAAAAGAAGAAATCGTAATACCTATTCCAGACATCTGACTTCCCTTCATATAAAACAGCACGAAGTTAGGTCAACCAGGAAAGAGGACTTAGCCGGGATTGAGAGCCTTCTTCTGGTAAAGACTTTCAGAACCTGATTACCTTAACACCAGCGAGGACTTCTATCTGCCTGTATTAATAAACCTTGCCCAGGGATGGGTCATAAAGCAAAACGTTAAGGGCATGAACATTGAGAGCAGTAAATTGTACTGAGTTTCTGTTCCCTCTTCCAGTGTCTGGTCATAACACTGAGATATGGCATCGGCACACTGAACATTTTCTCAAAGAAACACACAGTGACAGCCAATGTAGAATGAAGGAAATCAATAATATGACAATGTGCTATCATGAGGTTAGTAGACAGAAGAGGGAAGATTGAAAATGGGGCTCTCATTTTGCACACTGGATCTATATTCTTCAATACATCGACTATCATGTTACATAACAAGGGAATACAAAGCATTTAAGAAAGATTAGATGCAGAACCAGAGATCTCAGAAAACTGTTACACTGTGCCACACAACTCATCCAGCTCATCCAGTGTAGTCTACACATGCACTGTTAGCAGATCTGCAAGATTTCAGACAAGGACCTTTACTAAACTGTAGTATAAATCTGCTTTATTTGGGGGGAAAGCTTGGAGGAGGAAGAAGAGGAGAAGGGAACCACGGAGCCCCTCAATATGTTTTGTGGAGCCCCAAGGGCTCCACAGAGCACACTTTGAGAACCACTGGTATACAGGATTGTTTTCAGATTCAAGGTGTACCACTGTACTGACAAGCCAATGCTTATATGTGGCAAGTTTTCAATAGACAGTTTTCCTTTCTGGCCTGCTGGATCAAAGTTTGAGAACCTCTGACCTACAAGCTAAAGCAAATGAATAGTTTATCCAGACGTCTGTGCAATCTATTGCTTGCACCTATATGGTTATAATCTCTTGCACATCCTTTCAAGTCCTGATGTCTCACTGAGACATTATTTGTGCCAGTTATAGTTCTTGCCATAGGAAACTCCACAAAACATTTCTGGAACACCATATGGCATAATAATGTATGGGTAATTATTTAAGACGTCATGTTCCAATATCCTTGAATTGTATGTCCAAATCTCTACCTCACCAGAGGGATAGTCCCCAAGTAAGCATGATTACCCCAATGACCTGGTCTATTTATTATTTTTTGGTAACTACATTGGTTTCAGTGGTGATTACTTCCAAGTAAGTATGCACTGAATTGCAGTTTAAGGGTTATTTTTATGGCTTCCTGCTTATCACGGTCATTTCCTTCTCTAGCAGACAAACATGTGTCAAAGATTATCGGAACCAAAGAGGTGAGATCACTAAAGGGATACTGCCAAGCTTAGTTTAAATTTCTGAGATCAAGAAAAACAAGCAGACTTTGTGCTTTTGTACACTTGTTATACAAGTCTAAAACAAATATAGAGGAGATGAACAAAACTCATTACTTATGGGATTTACATGGTTCCTGCTCAACTGTTTAATGACAGTAGGGTTCTATTCCATTCAGAAAGCAATTTCAATGAAATAATTGTGTATTTTTATTTTGTATTAAATACAAATTGACTAACATACATTATATACTCATGTGTTAGTCGACCTCATGTATAAATCAAGGTTTTTAATAAGGATTTTGATATGACCCATTGAACCCTGGTGGCGCAATGGGTTAAACCCTTGTGCCGGCTGAACTGCTGACATGAAGGTTAGACAGGGTGAGCTCCCATCTGTCAGATCTAGCTTCCCATGTGGGGACATGAGGGAAGCCTCCCACAAGATGGTAAAACATCTGAGCGTCCCCTGGGCAACATCCTTACAAACAGCCAATTCTCTTATCCCAGAAGCGACTTGCAGTTTCTCAAGTCGCTTCTGACACAAAAAAAGTGACCCATTGATAACTCAAGGACCATTCCATGGGAAGGGGAAATCACAAGTGTCTCCTCAGGAGGTCAGCCATTTTCCCACCCATCTCAGCAAACATCATTTTCTCACCCAGGTAATTAAAAAGGAATAGAAGTGGTGTCACAACAGGGGGAGTAGAGGGAGTCAATGTTTCTTTTGAAGTCTCCCAGGACTGACTAACCTAGGATATGAAGTAAAGACCAGTCACTACCCTCAGCTCAAATGACACAATAACCAATCAATTTATCATTTGTTCTTATTCTAGCAAACTGCTCTCCTATATTCTCAAAAAAAGAAGCATTATTTTACTGGCTCTGCCTTAAAGACTCCACTATTTTTTCAAGATAGTGTCTTTTTTCTTATACACATCATTATTTGGGAATCTATGTTCAAACTTTCATTCACATCTATGCATTCTGTGATGAAGGGCCACGCAAAAGATTGCATTACACATTTGTGTTGATCTAGTTCTGATACAAAAAGCCTCAAATCCTGGAATATAATCAGGAGAAAATGAAAAGACTCTCAGTGACAGTGATGATTAATTGCAAAAGGTCACAATCTGACCTTACTTTCTACTTGCTTGATTCAAAAGGTCTAATTAGGGAGTCCTTTCTTTCTAAAGAGTCAAAGCACCATACTGCTGTGTCCCACAATGAACCAGGAGAGAGATAAATTATTGGAAGTATTGGCATTTAGGATTAAAATAGCAGATTTTTTAGCTTCTGAAGGCACATGAAAGTCATCAAATGATATTTCATACCTTTACATATTCAACCGTTGGATCCGCCATATTCTGATCCCTGCAAAGGAGAAAGACATGAATAATTTTAATGATTTAATCCAGTTCCTGGGGGTGGAGACAGCAATGTGTTGTTATTAGTCCCCTGCAGATCCTAGATTTTTTTCATCCAATACAGATAGCTCCCCCACCCACCCATCCAAATTCTGTTTCTCCTTCGATTTAGTGACAACAAAAGTTAAGAGAACAGCACAAAAAGTCAAATATTTTAATTCTCTTTAGTTGCCAGGTTGCTTCTGATTGCAGCATTGTTGTGTTAATGACATGAATGGCAACTAAACAGAATGACATCTCCAGCCCATCCTTTGTTCAGATATCAGCCAGCATGCCATAGCCTTAAATCAAGAAACAGTTTTCTAAGATCTACAGAGATACTCGCAGGAACACCTCAGCAAGCGAGAGTTCAAAAGTGGCAGACTAAAATCCAGAACCTCAAGCCATGGCTGATAACGAATGACAGACTCCCTCCTGGGCACACAGAAGACTGGGCGACCTGGAAGGCGCTGGCACCATGAGATGCTGAGCCAACCTTAAGAAATGGGACCACAATGTGGAGTCTACAACATGCGAGTGTGGACTCCACTTGCAAGTGTGGAGAACAGCAAACCACAGACCACTTAATGAACCCTGCCACATGCACAATGGAGGACCTTCTTATAGCAACACTAGAGGCACTCCAAGTGGCCAGCATCTGGTCAAAGGACATTTAGTATAATTCCAAGTGTTTAACTTTGTTTGTGTTTTTAAATAAATTACAACTATACCCTCTGTTCGCTTCTGACATGATAAATAAAGAAAAACCAATAAAACACAACAATGTATATATAAACACATTCGGCTCACTTCATTCTTTCTGAAACAAAATCAGAACCTATTTATACAATTTTTTGGGGTTCAATTTACACCCACTCTCTGGATATGGGGGCATCTCACAGTCAAACTAGATGAGACATTGATGCTTGGTTCTCTTGTCTCTTTAAACTTCTTTCCAAATCCGTCCAGGGTGGTGGCGGCAGGCAGGAATGCCAGACTGCTTTGGGGCATGGGACTGGGCAAAGACAAAGTTCGCTTACCATGAAATCATTCTACCCAAGCTGCTACTTGACCCAGCCTATGTTTTCCATAACAGGCCAAACAGTAGTGGGAGGAAACCAACTGACATTAGGAAATCTTAGCTCTCTGTCTCCATTCCCCAGCACTGTGATCCTTAAAAATTCACGCCTTGCTCCTCAGTGTAGTTTTCCAAAAGCAAAGTTTCAAGAGACAAAAGATCCAACCACAGATTTCCAATGCCTGATTAACTTTAGCCCTCATTGTGCATATGCAGAAAATCGGAATCTGAATATCATTGTAGTGGGACAGGATGCTCCAATTCCTTCACAACAATTGAGTAGTTATTCAAAAAGGTCAATGCAATAGTTATACACAGTTATATACATCTCACATCTCATTAGTAGATGGATATTAGTATGACAGGACTTTCTTCACCTTCCTACAGCATGCCTTTATTCCAGTGGTTCCCAACCATTTTTTTGACCAGGGACCACTTGACTAGGGACCACTAGACCAGGGACCACTCTCCAACATTAGTACCAAAAGAATTACAAATCAGTTTTTGGTCAACTTTAGATTCAGTTTAGTTATTTGGGGATGCTGATTCAGAAAACTGCATTGGATAAAAAACATATCAGCTCTAGTTTCTGATGCAGACCATATGCCATCCAATAGTGGCCATCTGCTCGCCCACAGAAAACCATATTTAATAATTTGGAGCTGATGTGGGTAGTCAGCCTCTCCCCTCCCAACATCCCTGTTGCCTCAGCATTATAAGAGGGTTTCACGAGACTAGTCACTTTCGTTGGTTTCGAGGCAACGGTGCAGTAATTGTGAGGCCGCGTACCATATTTTTGTTCTTGCGGACCACTGGTGCTCCACGGAACACAGGTTGGGAACCACTGCTTTATACCATTCAAAAGTTTGCTCCAAAGTCTCTCCAAGGACACATAGGGGGACCAAGACCCTCCAACTAAAAAGTAGCTACTATCATATCCAATAAATAAACATATGACTAGCTATGCACATCAAAGGTGCATGTTCCTTTATACATATGACATATATTCATGTACCACAAAGACTTATTTATTATTTATTTGCCATACTTATATCCTGCCCTTCTCACCCCAAAGGGGCTCAGAGCGGCACATATAAAGGCACAATTCCATGCCATACAAAACATATCCTGGAAATAAAAACATATACATTAAAACACCTGTTAAAAACAATTCAACACTGGAATTATTTAAAATCATATAATCCAATATCGTAGTCCAGGCCATTCCGGTTATCATTGCACCATTCCATATTCACATATTGCATTGATAAATTATCCAAAAGCTTGGCCCCACATTCACGTTCTTGGGAGAGAGGGGGCTGATCTGATGTCACTTGGGAGGGAGTTCTACAACCGAGGGGTCACCACTGAGGAGACCCCGTCTCTCATCCCCACCAACCACACCTGCGAAGGAGCTGGGACCGAGAGCAGAGCCTCCCTACAAGATCTTAATCTCCGAAATGGTTCATAGAGGGAGATGTGTTTGGATAGGTAAGCTGGGTCAGAACCATTTAGGGCTTTATAGGCTAAAGCCAGCTCTATTGTGCTCGATAGCAGACTGGCAGCCAGTAGAGCTGATGTAACAAGGGGGTCGTAGGCTCCTGTACATCATTATGGTGAGAAATCTGGCTGCCACCCATTGGGCTATTTGAAGCTTCCAAACAGTATTCAAAGGCAACCCTGTATTGACTTTTCTGTATTAATAACATAGTAACTATGGTATAAGCAGGGAAATAGAATTAACTTCTCACATGGACTTTGAAGGCAGACTAATTTATCATGGTCCTATACACGCATACCAGGGATATCCGTCCTTGAATTCAACAGGATATATTTCTTGAAAAATCTAACAATGGCCCTTTAAATGTGGCTAGTTATCTATCTTCTCTCCAAGTGACACCTGAAATGGCAGTTTGGGCACACATTCAATTTGCACTGTCAAGGTGTTGGAGATTCAGCACATACTGAAACTAAATGAAACCCTTTCTATGAAATTATGGTCCTCAAATATAACACTCAAGGTCAACCCTACATAGCACGAAGTAGGATTAGATAGTGTACCATTTGAAAAACCACAATTACTCAAATAGTCATTTTCCACTAACCTTGGAGGCATCTGAAAAACCATAATGACTCCTACATTCATTTTCCACTAACCTTGGAGGCATTTATAAAAACACAAAGTGCTTTTTGGCTTTATTAAAGTAAATTGCCAAAAAGTAACCAGATATGAACTACACATGGCTTAGAAAGAATTAGCTTTTGGACTACAATTCCCAAATTCGGAAGCTAGTATGTGCAATGGGTTTGCAACTATGGATGGGGATGCTGGTGCATTTAATCCAAAAAGGGATTTTTCTAAGCTCTGAAAATATTGTCCAGAATTTCACATGATTGATATTAATAACATAAAGAAATTAGCATTTTAGCTACACTCAGATAATGTGGGATTTCCTCCCTTGATATTCTGGGATATAGAGCTGTGTGAAAGGGCCCTGTGTCATCCTGACAAGCAGACATGAGGATAATTCACAGAGATCCTTCACAAAACACAAATATTTATGAAAGTCAAAGGAAATGCTTGAATGTTGTAAGGAATTATGCTTTGCTGTCAACTTCAGAAGATAAAGACGGCTTGCTTTCCTGAGTTAATGGCCATCAAGCGCTCCCCACCACTAGAGTCATTCCCCAACAAATTGGATTGAGAGCATTGAAAAGATTTTATTCCATTCGAATACGTGTTTAAAATAATTAGAAGGAAAGTTTTCAAAGCTCTTCTAATGGAAATGAATGGAACATAAAAGAATCTAATCATTAAATGGAAAGTACAAGCATCTTTCATTGTGTAAGCGACAATTTGAAGTAGAATATTGATTTCAACAATAATGTGCCTCTTGAAAGACCTATTGTGGTCCGTGAATACAAAGCAAACTGATTTAGAAACAATCTTAAAATCAGTAGAAGCCTTGTTTAAAGAAAGGGAAGGACCTATGCTCCTTTATACAGTAGTCTATGTATTAATCTTCGTGCAGGTTAAAATTGTTTCATTCCCCAAAGCCTTCAAACAAAATTACACAGCTATGTTTTACATCTTGCATCTAATTGAAACTACAATAGATATATTCAGTATACCAACTCCATGGTTATGACGAATGGCTGCTCCAAGGCATGGGGAGAGGCAATCCCTATTGTGGTCCCCTGAAGAATTCTCCACACTAACTCTTTTGAACAACAGCAAATCCTATGCACTGGTTATTGAAGTCTGCCTCATAGTTTCTGAAGACGGTACCACAAGTACCACCAATGGCTTGTGTTTGAAACTTACAGCCAGACTATAAGCCAAAGACCCCAGGCATTCCACAAATGGAAGGCTGACTGTCTTCGTTATGCACAGCTAATTCTGGTAAGTATTCTGGGGGTTTAGCTTTAAAGTGACTTTGCCCTACTCCAGGAAAATTTAGGGGACACGCCACAGTTTGCTGCAAATTCCAGAGTATCATGCAGCTTTAGGGCAGTCTGGATAGCTGGATCGGGCCTCATTCAGCCAGTTACCATCCAGATGGTGCACCCTACAGTGGATTGTGGCCATATCTCCATCACCACCACTCCTAGCTTGCAATAGAGCTCATTAGACCTCCTGGCCACTGGAGGCACCTCTGCGACATCAGAATTGGGTACCTGCATGACCAGGAAGAAGGAAATCCACCCTTCTTCCTGATTGTGAAGGGGGTCCATTCTCACATTAGCAGAGGTGCCCGGATAACTAGATGATCACCTCTCCTCCATCTTGGTCATGAAGGCATTTCTGCTGATGTCAAAATAGGGCAATGTGTCCTGATCTGATATTACCAGACACATCAGTGTTGGCCAGGGGGTCTCCATGGTCAACT